ATCTGTGTGTGTGTATGTGTGTGTGTGTGTGTGTGTGTGTGTGTGTGTGTGTGTGTGTGTGTATGAACAAGGTGTAGACCAAAAAACCCAGAATTTATTTATTAAAAAAATTTGTATTTATTCTTTTTTATTCTTGAGTTGGAATCTCACTCTGTTGCCCAGGCTGGAGTGCAGTGGCACACTCACAGCCACCACAGCCTCGCCCTGCTGGGCTCAGGCAACCCTTCCACCTCAGCCTTTCAAGTAACTGGAACCAACAGGCACACGCCACCATGCCCGGCTAATTTTTTGATTTATTGTAGAGACCAGAACTCACCAAGTTGTCCAAGCTGTTCGTGAACCCCTGGACTCAGGCAGTCCTCTCTCCTCGGCCTCCCAAAGGGCTATGATTATAGGCATGAGCCACCACGCCTAGCCTATTTATTCTTATGTATTTAAACTTAAGTCACCTTCAAAGTACTCTCTGTTTGATACAATACACCTATCAAGATGCTTTTTCCACTGCTCAAAATAGTTTTTAAACTCGTCGATTTTGATGCCTTTTAGTGCTTCTGCCCTTTTTTGTTTCACCTCTTCCACATCAGCAAAACATTTTCCTTGAAGGACTTTTTTAATCAAGGGGAAAAAGTAGTCTCTTGGGGCGAGATAGGGTGAATAGGGAGGGTGGAGCACAGGGGTCAGGCTAATTTTGGTCAAAAAAAAAAAAAAAATGCACTGAAGCTGAATTCGGTCTCTCACAACACCAGCTGATACACTGATGCTCATGGGTTCCTAGAACACTTACCTAGTGGGGAAGCCTGTACTGTAAGAGGCCCACCCTCTGAAAGATAATTCTGGTTTTTAAAAGTCCCCCTAGTATGTATGTATGTATGTGTGTTTGTATCCATTTATCTATCCATCTATCTATCTAATTTAATTCCAATGGTCCTATTTCTCTGGTGCACTGTGACTAATAGATTTGAGTACTGAGAGTAGTTCTAGAGGAACAGAATTTTAAAGATAGTCATCAGATTTGGTTCTAGAATTTCTGGAATTGGCTTTCTTACATGATTAGATTTTAAAATACTAATGACTCTGATTCCAGCAGTAAGAGAGTATTTATAGTCTTTAGCATAATATGGCAATGAAGATATGTAAAATATCTTAATTGGATAATCAACCACTTATAAAAAGCAAGGAGTTGGGTGACTATGTATTTGATATTTTCAAACATTTATGGGAAATTAGTGAATATAAGAAGATCAGCTAGGTTTTTTCTAATGTCACTGGACAAAGTAACAAAAGGATGAGTTTGGAAATTAAAATGTTCAGCTTTAGCACCGCATAAATATAGTGAAGTCTTGTATGTCTGCCTTAAAAGAAGCCTTTATCACCTGTAGCTACAGGGCCCAGATTGCTGAAAATTGAACCCAGAATCATATCCTGTGACTAGCTAAATTACAATGCAAGTTGAACGGCCAACCTCATGGATATCTGCTGTTAAAATGAGGGCATGCGGCTGGGCTCGGTGGCTCAGCCTGTAATCTTGCGCTTTGGGAGGGCGAGGTGAGTGGATTGCCTGAGCCCGCAGGTTCAGGACCCACCCGGGCAACTTGGTGAGACCTCATCTCTACAATAAATCAAAAATTAGCCGGGCATGGTAGCGCGCGCCTGTAGTTCCAGCTACTTGGAAGGCGGAGGCGGGAAGATCGCCAGAGCCCAGCAGGTCGAGGCTGCGGTGGCCAGGAGCGGCCACTGCACTCCAGTCTGGGCGACAGAGTGAGACTCCAACTCAAAAAGAAAAAAAAAAAAAAAAATGAGGGCATTGATTGGAAGACAATGGGATCCTGAAAGTTGGAATGAGTAAATGTGGGAAGAACCTATTGAAGCTGGGGTCACTGAGCCCCTAAATATAATAAGTCTTTTTTTTCCAGTGGAAGTGGCTTGGCACTCCAACTGGGAACAGTTTCTCTACCCATGTCCGAGAGAATTAACCCTACATTGCCTGGGGGAACTGTAATGGCCTCCACTAAGGCAGTTGCCATATAAGACAACACTGAGTCTCCTCTAGGACCTGCCTCTATAGCCCCTCTTTGTTTCTAGACTCAAGTCTCAGAAACTTCCTAAAGGTGAAGTGAAAAGTGTGACTTTGAAGATGTACACTACATGACACTTCAAAAGAATG